TGTCGACTCCCTTGGGACTGGAGTTGCAGGTGCCTGTGAGCCACCGTGTGTGTTCTGGGAATTGAATCCAGGCCATCTGCAATAGCTGCAGGTGCCCTGAACCCTGAGCGATGTCTCCGGCCCTGTCCTCCGAGCTTCTTATTTTCGAGTCGTTTCATTTCACTTATGTGTCTCTGTGTGTGCAGATATGCACACTCTTATGCACTGCTGGTGGTCATGTCAGGAGATCATCAGTTGACTTCAGCGGATCAATGTCTCTTCCTACTGCTGTGCCTTTACATGTTCGCTGCTGCCATTCTTCTCTGGTATTTGGCATGATGTGAATTGACATGGGGAGATCCCCACTGACCTTACTGGGCATTTTTACAGGAGGATTGTTATGAAGATGATTTTCTCCTAAGCTATACTGTTTAACTGAAGCAACAATTTTTTATACACTAATAGTGTTAATTTAAATAGGATTTTTGATGATGGGGGTCTTTAATAAATATAATAGGGGATTATGAGAGAGGTTAGTTTAGTGGGGAAATTAATATAGGAAAAGGTAGACTAAAATGTTGCCCTTGTGCTGTGTGATAATACTTCTGTATGCTATAAACTTGTATGTATTTCTCTCATTGGTCAATAAAGAAGCTGCTTTGGCTTATAGCAAGGCAGAATAAAGGCAGGCTGGGAAGTCTCATGGAAATACAGGGAGAAAAAAGGGTGGAGTCAGGGAGAGATGTGAGCCAGCCAGCAGAGAAGCAAGATGCATGAAAACAGATAAAGCTGCAAAGCCACGAGGCAAAGTGTAGATTAATAAAAATGGGACAAATATTTATCCCTGGGGCATGAACTGGCTTTTTGGAGCTTATTCCCTATGGAGGGATACCTTACTCAGCCTAGATACAGGGAGGAAGGCCTTGGTCTTGCCTCAAGTGATGTGATGGACTTTGTTGACTCCCCATGGGAGGCCTCACCCTCTCTGAGGAGTGGATGGGGTGGGATGAGGGGAAGGTGGGAGGAGAGGAAGGAGAGGAGGGAGAAGGAACTGAGATTGATATGTAAAATAAAAAAAGATTGCTTAAAAATAATAAATAGAAACAAAAAATAAAAATGGGTTAATTTAAGTTGTCAGAACTAGTTAGTAATAAGCATGAGTTACAAGCCAAACAATTTGCAACTAATATTAAGCCTCTGAGTGACTATGTCAACTATTGCTGTCACAAGCTGCCATGACCAACAGCGACTTGGGAAGGAACGGCTTTACTTCCATTTATAACTTCAGTTCACACTCCAGCTCTGAGGGAAGTCAGGACAGGAGTTCAAGGCAGGAACTGAAGAGAGGCCATGGGGGAGTTCGACTTCCTACCTTACTCCTCATTGCCTTCTGAGTCTGCGCTCCTGCACAATCCAGGACCCACCTGCCCAGATTGTGCTAGTGGGCTCGGCTCTTCCCACATAAGTCTAGCTTGTGTCAAGGTGACAGAAAAATAAAAAATAAAAAATTAAAGAACAACCAGGTAACCAGGTTAACCACAACCACCATATCTGGTGTGTGTGTGTGGGGGGGTGTGTTGTTGTTGTTTGAGACAGGATTTCTCTGTGTAGCCCTGGCTGTCCTAGAAGTAGCTCTGTAGATCAGACTGGCCTCGAACTCAGAGATCTGCTGCCTGTGCCTCCCAGGTGCTGCCCAGTCATGCCTGGTTTCATGTGATTCCAGACATTGAACCTAAACCCTGTACATGCGAGTCAAGTATTCTCCCGACTGAACTGTATCCCTGGCCCTAATTTTATTTATTTATTTATTTTTTTGATTTGGTGACCTGTTCTATTTACTTTTAGCTGCTGTGATGAAACATTGGCCAAACCAGCTTGCGGGGAGGAAAGAATTTATTTGAGTTACATGTCCCAATCACTGCCCAACATTTAAGGAAGTTAGGACAGAAACTCAAGCAGAAACAGAGCTGGGAACTCTGCAGAAAAGCTGCTTGCTGGATGGCTTCCAAGGCCACATCAGCCCTTTTTTATATCTCACAGGACCTTCCCACTGTTTTATGCCTCATAGTCCCACAATGGGCCGGGCCCTTCCACATCAATCAAGACGGTGACACACAGATATTGCGTCGTGTGCTGCAAGCATCTCCTCAGTTCAGCTTCTCTCCTACTATCGAGGCCAGTCGACAAATACTAGTCAGAACATTCCTCAAAGGCTCCTGTGTTGCAAGCAGGCTTGTTCCCAAGCCAGAAGTGCTATATAGAGGGTGGGAGCTGTCAGAGGTAGAGCCCAATAGGTGGAAATTAGGTTTTCCCCTGCTATTATTCTCTGTTTGGTCATAGACCCTAAACCTATAAAAGTTGCTCACCATGGCCTAAAACTTCTGAAAGGGTGAGCCAAAATAAAAACATATCCCGATAAATCATTCACTTCATACACTTTACTACAGTAACGGAAGGGCTGACTGTATTAGTTACTTTTCTCTCGGTGACAAAAAAAAAAATTGTCAAAAAGAGCTTAGGGAAAGACTGGACTTGGGGGTGGGCCTGCAGGGAACCAATGCATTCCTGGATGTGTGTGGTGTTGATAGAGCATAGCCTCATCCCGATAAATCATTCACTTCATACACTTTACTACAGTAACGGAAGGGCTGACTGTATTAGTTACTTTTCTCTCGGTGACAAAAAAAAAAATGTCAAAAAGAGCTTAGGGAAAGACTGGACTTGGGGGTGGGCCTGCAGGGAACCAATGCATTCCAGGATGTGTGTGGTGTTGATAGAGCATAGCCTCATCCCGATAAATCATTCACTTCATACACTTTACTACAGTAACGGAAGGGCTGACTGTATTAGTTACTTTTCTCTCGGTGACAAAAAAAAAAAAAATGTCAAAAAGAGCTTAGGGAAAGACTGGACTTGGGGGTGGGCCTGCAGGGAACCAATGCAGTCCTGCATGTGTGTGGTGTTGATAGAGCACAGCCTCATCAAGGACCCCGAGGCCTCAGACTCACGGAAATGGCGAAGGTCAGAGCCTTCCCCGGCTCCAAACATTAGTACTGACTGACTATTAAACTGTAGCTAAAACCAGTGTGTGCAGAAACTGCCGATCACAGCTCCCCCCTCCCCCCAGGGGGATGTTTACCCTCCCAAACCTCCCCCTGTAGAAAAGTCCAGACCTAGACCAGCTAATCCCTTCTCCTCCGGCAGTGCATCATAAATGCTCTGCCCCCTCGTGGTGGAAAGGGAACTGGCTCCTATAAATTGTTCTCTGACCTTCACAGGTGTGTCTTGGCACACACACACACACACACACACACACACGAAAAAAACGTAATAAAGAAAATTAAATACAAACTAAAAAACCCTCCTATAGCCTTACCTAACTGTCTTTTCCAGTAGATACCTGGGTGGTGCTATTCAATTAACACAGAAAACACACAATCGCTTTTCAGTGGGAGAGGAAGCATGGTTGGTTTTTCCACTATGCTTGGAAGGGGGCTGATTTTACAAGGCTACATTTCCCAAGAGTCCCTTCGTTTTAATTTTTAACGATTTTTTAAATTAATTCTCTGGGAATTTCACATCATGCACCCCAATCCCACTAATTTCTCAGTCCTTCCATATCTGTCCTTGTAACTTCCTCCCCATAAGTAAGGAAGAAAAAGCATCTCGCCGACCCCTCTGGGCACGACCTGCTCCTGGATCAACTGCAGTTTTCTCTCAACTCCATCACATTGTGGCGTCTCCAGTTCCATTGTCCATGTGTCCTTCCACCTCTCCATCGTAGCTGAAGGATTTCCATGACTCAGCACAACAGCAGGTTATCTATCTGAGAGGAGTCTCATCCGGGTCCAGTACTGACGGTGTAGCAGAAGCCAGAGGCTTCGAACTCACTACACTAAATGTTTGCAGGTAAAGCTGTTTGGGTCCTAGAGTCTTCTGCATGACACGCGGCAGCTTCCGATGCCGCTATGACCAACGAATATATGAAGGGACCCTTCTTTAAGAGTTCCTTTTCTAGCTTGGGATGATTGATGTTTTTCAGGGTAAGTTTTTGTAAGGGAGGAAAGGAGGAAGGGAAGAAGGGAGTAGGGGAGAGAAGAAAGCCAGAGGAGTAAGTAGAAGGAACACTCAAGAAGAGAGACTGACTGAGGGATTTGGCACACTCCGAATCCAATCTTTCCTTCAATATGCCCTCAGACTTGTGTGGACCCCTTCTAAAATACCTTTTTCTCTTTTTTTGAAACAAATTCTCCCACATATCCCCGGCTGGCCTTGAAACTGTAATCCTCCTCGTGGCTTCAAAAATTATCTGGTCCTCAATACTTAAGGAGCGGCTGTGACACCAGCCCAGGCCAAGCTCTACCCACACTTCCTGCACTTCCTCTGCTCGTGGTCCCTCTTAGCCTGACCTTTACCCCCACGCTTTCCCGCGGACCTCTGACACCTCAGCCTCCAGATGAGTTTAATCTATAACTCTGACCCCGTTGAGTTTAATCCATAGACTCTGCCCCCGCTGGTTCCAGCAGGGCTGCATTATTTGTTAAAGCCCTGGGAGTCTTCGGTCAACCTAGGACCTGGGGTGCAAGAAGGAAAAACTGATCTCTGCCAGGCTAGTGCAACTGGTGGGCGGGAGCGGTGCAAGGGCGGGGAAGGGGGGGCGCATTTCGGAGCCTCCTGGTTCTGCACTGAGAGATGCTGCATGCTCTCCCCTCCAGCCCCCAGTGCAGAGGAACTAGAGAGGTGTTCTCCAATAGGTCTGGCTTGAATCTGGTACGGTGGACCCTGAACTTTGGTGTTTGTGTTTTTATCGGCCAACCCTTGGCCTTGGGAGGGCAGGTACAGTTGTAAATTTGGAGTCTCAAGGCGCTTCTGTCCCTGGTTGAGACGGAAAGGGTTGAAACCTGAGGATCCCCGGGGCTGCCGGAGCCCGAGACTCCCGGCCTGTTTCAGTCTGTTTATGGCTGGACCCGCCCCACTCACATTGGCCAACTGCCAAGGCCCTGGTTGCAGCTGGGCCTGGTAGGGATTGGCTGGCTCAGTCCAGCCCCAGTTCCCCACGCAACTTAGCTTCCGGCAGGTCAGACGCCAGGGACAAAGACAGTTCAGAGAAGACAGGAGGTCCTGGAAGAATCGCTGCTCTTGAGAGAAGGTGCCAGGCTGGGAGGCCACAAAAAGGGTTCTGGTCCTGAACTCTGCCCAGGGCTGGGAGGGCTGCAGGGTGTCTGCTGGCCTTGGAGACTTCTGGTTTCCTGGTCATTGCACCCAGGGCCTGTGCTTCAGGCTGAGCTATTCTACAATGCAAACAGTTCCTGTCTGCTGTCCCTCCCTCTCCTGTCGTTTCTCTTCTCTCCCACTGTGTGGTCCTTGCATTTCATCCCGCTCTGCCCCCCAGTCATTCCAGTCTACATAGCTATAACCCTCTCCTGGGCCTCAGAAGCTTACTCTCTGCCCATCTGCCTTGCAGGATGCTACAGCTGAGCCTGTCCTGGCTGGGACTGGGGTCCACGGCTGCCTTCCCATGGCATCTCCTGTTGCTGGGTGGGGCCTCCTGGATTCTGGCCCGAATTCTGGCCTGCATCTATGTCTTCTATAACAACTGCTGCCGCCTTCGTTGCTTCCCTCAGCCTCCTAAACCAAACTGGTTTTGGGGTCATCTGGGCATGGTGAGTGTGGCAGTAGGTGGGTCTCGGGGTGTCAGGATAGATGTGTTCTCAAGGAGTGAGGAAAGGCGCTTATAGAGAGGTCTGGAACGCAGGACTTTAGAGAAGTGAGGGAGGGCCTAGGGAGCACCTCTCTCCTCAATCCCAGCATCCCTTGGTTCCTATCCACTCCAAGCTCTGAGGCTCTTCTCTCTCTCTCCCTTCCCTGCCCCCAGTCTACTTTAGGTCACATTATACCAGGACTCATGGTTTGAGGTCTCTTTTATATAAATAAATATATATATATATTTATATATTTATACAAATCTGTCCTCCATAGGAGCTCCCAGGGAGGGGAGCACGCAGCACGAACATCCCTGATCCACTCAGTTTCCACTGATGGATTTGAGGCAGCGGTGCCAAAAGTCTGGCCCCTGCCTGGCCCATCCTCGTCCTTAGGCCAGTACCTCTCTGAACTGCCATTTGCCCTTTAGTAATAAGCTATGATCCCCGTGTCCACCTTCAGGGATTCTAAGGGGTGGAAGAGAGATGTGAATAGATCTTCAACTGCTCAGGCCCTGTTCTTTCTGATCTTCCCCTCCCCTCTCAGGATGCATCAGTGGACTCCATTGTCCAACCTGAGCACTTTGTTTGTTTGTGGTACTGGGATGAAGCAAGCTTTTCATCAAGGACCATGCTGGCCGCCCCCATACTAGCTACCCTTCCTAGGAAGGCTCCTTCCTCTGCATCCCTCTTATTCCCAGCACTCCTTACTCCATGCCGCACGGTGACTATTGCAGAGTCACACATTTCTATGTCATCTGTAATCATGGGCACCATCTCCAATGTCATTGGTTCACGTGGTGCTTTCTCTCCATACAGACAAATCTTCATCCAAAATCCTTCTTCGCCCTTGGCTTTCCAGGCTCCCCCAGGACCCTCTTCCTTTCTGCATTGCAGTCCAGTTGCTTCCTTCCAATCCTTCTGACTAAGTCGAGTCCTGTAGGAGAACAAACCCGGAAATATATGTATATACACACATATGATAATACATATATGCATATACATACATACACACATGCATATACACGATACATATACATACATTTATATACATAACACACATATACACAATACACATATACACAACACACACATATATACATACACAAACATATACACATACATATACATATGTATACATATCGTATAAATCATACAGACATACATGTATGCATACATATACATATATACAATGCACATATTCATATACACATACATATAATATGCACATACACATACATACATATACATATATACACACATACATATATACATACACACATGATTTGCTAGAGTGGTTCCCAATCAACAGTGGCCATCCGCACACTGGAGAGAACACAACAGTTACACATCTATAAAACTGAAGGCCGCCGTAGTCCCAGTCTCATGCTCAAAGGTCTGAAAGTCTCATAGAAAATTTCTGCTCTTCAGTTCACAAGGGAAGGTCCAAGAAGCAGATGTTGATGTCATTAAAGATGGATGCACTCATGTGGAAGAGGCAAAAGGCAGGCAGGCAACACTTTTTTCCTCAAACATTTTTTAATAATTTATTTTTATTTTATATGCCTTGGTGTTTTGCCTGCTTGTATGTCTGTGTGTGATGGTATCCGTTCCCCTAGAACTGGAGTTACAGTTATGAGCCTCTGTGTGGTTGCTGGGAATTGAACCTAGGTCCTCTGAAAAACAGTCAGTGCTCTTAACCACTGAGCCAATTCTCTAGCCTCCCTCTAGCCCCTCTTCAATATTTTTATATTCAGGCTATCCATCAGAAAGTGCCACCCTCTCAAGATCTTCTCCCCTCAGTGTGTGTTTTTGGAAACATCCTCACAGACTTACCTTGAGGTTCGCCTCTTAGTTTCAGATCTTATCATATTTGCAATCAAGATTAAATATCACACATCCACTCCTTATCATCTTGACCCCAACCACATATCCTTCTGTCATGGTTAATTTATCTAAAACAATACAATAATAAAGTCATAATTCCACCTGATGTAACTATCCTACACACAGCCAATGATTCGTTAATTCTTTCCCCTCCCCCAAATAGGCTGAAAAACCTCTTGAGGAATACTTAGCCTTTTAGTAGACTCTTTAAGGTAAAAACGATAGTACAGGTTTGCAATACTTAATTACTGATATTTCTTTTCTTGTTTTTTGTTTGTTTGTGGTTTTTGAGGCACAGATTCTCTTTGTGTATCCCTAGCTGTCCTGGAACTTGCTCTGTAGACAAGGATGGCCTCAATCTCACAGAGATCCACCTGCTTCTGTCTCCCAAGAGCTGGGATTAAAGGTGTGTGCCACCACTGCCTGGCTATAAATCTGTTCTTCACAAAGTAAGAAAGACCTACTCATAACAATTGTAATCCTTGATTTTTTTTTTACTTGTGACACAGCATTGGCTATGTTTTAAAAGATTTATTTTTAATTATATGTGGGAGGGAACATGCATGCATGCATGCAGGGGCCTGCAGAGTCCAGCAGAGGGTGTCAGATCTAGAACAAGAGTTACAGAGGGGTGTGAAGGGCATAACATAGCTGTCTTGTTAGGAAGCAGAAGATAGGATTAACTGTTGTGACCCACTTCCTGAGCATACATAACTTAAGTTTCCAGCAGGACTCATGGTCTGCAGTTTCCTGTCCATTAGGTTTTCCTTTATCAATATTTAGAAATCTTTACCTTGAATGAATTCAGCCAGCCATAGTTTTCCAGGTCTTCTTCACACAATGCTGGAGAAAATGATAAAACTGGAGACTCCCCCATCCCTGCCCCCCTCCAGCGTGTCTCCTTCTGTGCGGAACCTCCCGTCTGCTCACTCTGTCATCTCCTTGTGGACAGAGTCATCTTCACTGGTTGTCTCCTGTTCCCTCCCTACTCTTGTGATTCCCCGAATGGCAGCCCCATGTCGTCTCTCTCCCCACTGCTCCCCATGGCAACGACATCCAGGAGTCTCCTTTCTTGCTTCCAAGAGACACCCACACTGCTCTCCCCTGGGCTCTCTGCAGGTCCCTCTGTGTCTGCTGCTGGTTTCTCCTTCCCCTGACATTTTCACACAGAGTTCACCGAAACCCTAATCCTTCCTTCTTCTCAAGGTCCCAAGGCTGCCTTCTTGCCCGGGAGTCCAGCTCCTAAACTGGCCATCAATTCCCTCTTGAAACGAGGTCTAAGTTCACATCCTTTCTGAGCTGGGGATCAGGACTGGAGCTGCCACCAAGTTCTTTACTGCAGTACAGGGAGGCAGCTGGTGGCAGGAGCGTGTGCTGGGGTTGGAATAAAATTAACCGTGAGAGCACTCTGAATGGCAACAAGTGACAAGGTGTTGAATGTGGTGGTGGGGAGAGATGAATTGGGAAGAATTCAGTGGAAAGAATCCAATAGACACAAACAACAAATAGTAGAACAATGCATAATACATGATTTTAATTAATAATTTACTAAGTGAAACGTCTTCAGATAACATTTTCATACATATTTCATTTTGGTTGGTTCTCCTCCACCCCCCCCCACAGTACTCTTATACTCTTCCCACTGGTTCTATTGTCTTCCCCATTCCCTCCATTAAAGCCTTTTCCCCATTCTCATGATCCTCTTTCCAGTTTCCCAAACTTTTCTCATATTTACTCCTACTTAAGCACATTTATTTAATAGTGAAAGGCTAGGATCCACAGAGAACACACAGTATTTATCTGAGCCTGGACTATTTCACCTAATACAGTGTTTCTTGGTTAGATTCATTTCCTGGCAAATTGTACAGCTGAATAAAATTAGGTTGTGTGTATTCTACATCTTCATTAGCCAGTCATGTGTTGATGAGCATCTAAGCTGGTTTGTAGCAACAGGCTGCTTGTTCATCTTGGCCACCCAGAACCAAAATAACCGCACAGAAACTGTATCAATTAAATCTCTGCTTGTCCCATTAGCTCTAGCTTCTTATTGGCTAATGCTTACATATTAATTTAACCCTTTTCTATTCATCTGTGTATCGCCACATGGGTGTGGCTTTCCAGGTAAAGTTCCATACTGCACCAGCGGGGCTCCATGGCTTTTCTCTGACTCTGCCCTTCTTTCTCCCAGTATTCGGTTTAGTTTTCCCCGCCTACCTCTATTCCCTGTGCAGGGCCTGGCGGGGATGTTTCTTGTAGTTCTAGGGTTCCATTCAGAAATTTCTTATACCTGCATTATCTGAATTTCAGTTCTAGATACTATTTCTTAGCCCTTTACCATTTACCCATCACATGTCCTTGTAACAACTTTGCTATCTATCAAGTCTCATATCTATAAATCATTTGTGTGTATTTTCCTATTGATTCATCAAGCCCCTGTTTAAGGTAAGAAACATAAAAATGGAGACAGTGAGATGTCAGAAAGAGGCTTGTAGATTGAAAGTTGAATATTGTAAGAGAAACATGGATGAACTTGAGGTGACTCAGCAAGAACCATAGATGCGAGTCGAAGGGATGAGAGAGGTTGGGAGTGATTGGCAGAGACCCTTCCAGGACTACCCTCTGATTTCTCATTTCCTAGATGAGGAGCAACGAGGAAGGCATGCAGTTTGCAGCACACTTGGGCCACTACTTCCGTGACATCCACCTCTGCTGGTTTGGACCTGTCTACCCTGTCCTGAGGCTCATCCACCCGAAGTTCATTGCTCCCCTGCTCCAGGCCTCAGGTATCTCTCCCAGGATCCCAAACCCTGGCCTCTCCCCTCCTTCTTCTCCCAGTCCTCCTCACACGTACACAGACCAAGCTGAGCAGGGGGTGAAGCCGTAGGGAACAGATGTCATGACTCTGTCACCTGTCTTCTGGATGACTGTGGACCCGGTCCTGGGTCTCCTGGGGTTTTGAGGTCTGTCTAAGTTGTGAGTGACGGACATCCAATCTTATCCAACAAAGGGAATCTACTGTCTGGGGGTGTAGCTCAGAGACAGAGCACTTACCTGCCATGTACAAGACCTGAGGTCGCATGTGTAGCACAGAAAAGGAAAGTAAAGGCTTCTATTGTTGTTGGGGTCAAGGAGGGAGATATTCAAGATCTTCAAGCACGACTATGCAAAGGGAGTAAACAACGGCTCCAGGAACCTTCATTTCTTAGCTCTGTTTTTGTGGTGGTTTTACAGATAACTCTTAGAAACTCAGCACCCTTCAAAAAAACCGTGTAGTACTGGGCAGTGTTCTAGCGGCCTTCCAATTGACTTTGGTGGTAGGACTGGCTACTTCCTCTAATCACTATAGCTTGATCACTGAGACTCTGGGCAGGATGGCCACCTTTCCAAATAGTGGCATCAGGATATGGAAGGTGTAGTGAGGTTGTTGACCTGAGAGAACAGAAATGTGGAGGCAGACACCACGAGTTGTCCATCTGTTATAGAACACTGACGCTATTTCTGTTCATCAGTGCAAACGACGATGGTGAGCAGAGTTGCTCGTTTGAGTTGCTCTTTACTCGGGTACCTGGTGACCTAAGGAGGCACTAGTTTGATTAGTTCCTTTTCTATTGCTGGCTTAAAACACCATGACCAGGACAATTTGCAGAAAGAGGGCTTTATTTTGGGCTCACAGTTCCAGAGGGATGGGGCTGTGACCCCGATGTTGCGGAAGTACAGCAGCAGGCCCGCACGGTGACCGATGCTGAAAACTCTTACGTCACACCACTAACAAGAAGCAGAGAGAGAAAACTGGGGGTGTTGAGAGACTTGTACCCCCAGTGACTCACTCCCTCCAGCAAGGACACATCTAACTTAACCTGCCCCAAACAGTGCCACCAACTGGGAACCAGGAATTCTAGTGCCTAAGATATGAGGGACATCTCACGTAAAACACCGCCTTGCTAAAAAGCTGGGTGTGGTGGTGCATGCACTTGAATTTCCTGTACGGGGGAGGTGCATCCTGGAGCACACTGGCTAGTTAGCCCTGTCAAATTAGTGAGCCCTAGATCCCAGTGAGAGACTTTGTCTCAAAAACAAACAAACAAACAAAAAACCAAGGTAGATGCCTCCTCCTGAGATTGACTTTTGATATCCACATGCACAGACACCAGCCCCTCACTCCCATGCATACATCTCTCAAGCAAGCAGCTTATATAGGGAAGGAGAGAAACAAGACAGTCAATATTTCCAGATCTCAGGTTTGCCCCTTTGGCCTGGGGTTCAGGGTATTAAATCCTGTGTAGCTAGGCCAAGACATTCACTTGGATGCTGAGTTTTGTTAGTGTCTGTGGTCTGTGTTGCATTCTTTTTTACTGTTGCCTAGGCTGAGAGCAGTTACTTCAGAATGAACAAGTCATTAACTGTGTGTGTATACAGATCTGTTTACAATGTGTAGATTTTTTTCCTCAATATGGAGTGAAAATATTTCCTTATAATACAAAATATAAAGTCCCCCTAACCAATCCTTTTATTTGTACCACTTTTCACTACTATTAAAAATTGTTACATCTTAGCTGGGTGGCGGTGGCATACGCCTTTAGTCCCAACACTCAGCAGGTAGAGGCAGGTGAATCTCTGAGTCTGAGGCCAACCTGGTCTACAAAGTGAGTTCCAAGACAGCCAGGGCTCCACAGTGAAACCCTGTCTCAAAAAGCAAAACAAACAAAAATCCCACCAAGTAGTTTTTGCTGCCCATATATTCTTGAATGGAGAGTGGTTCACTGGAGACCGTCATCTGGCCAAGGTGCAGAGGAAGAGGGCTGTGGAATAACCTGCCCTAGGAGACATCTACATTACATCTCTTCCTCCCAAGGCTCAGGGATCATTGCAGAACAGAGAGAAGACAGAGTGGAAGAGGCAGTGGATGATTGTAAGAAACACTGTTTTTTCAGACATGGCAGGGCGTTTGCACAGATGGACTCACAGCATTTGTGACACCTTTCATATGTGCAAGCTCAAACCAAACAAAATCCCAGCCTGCAGATGGGTGGAGAGGGGAGGTGGGCACAAAGTCCCACCCTAGCCGAGGAGCCACTGCTAACTGATAGCTGTTGGGAGTTAGGGGGATCAGTCTTTTTTTTTTTTTTTTTTTTCTCTGTGTAACAGCTCTGGTTGTCCTGAAACTCTTTTTTATAGACCAAGTACGGTGGCCTCAAAGTCACAGAGATCTGCCTGCCTCTGCCTCCCAAGTGCTGGGATTAAAGTCATGGGCCACCACTTCCCAGCTTTTCTTTCTTTCTTTCTTTCTTTCTTTCTTTCTTTCTTTCTTTCTTTTTCGAGGCAGGGTTTCTCTGTAGCTTTGGAGCCTGTCCTGGAACTAGCTCTGTAGACCAGGCTGGCCTCGAACTCACAGAGATCCGCCTGCCTCTGCCCCCCGAGTGCTGGGATTAAAGGCGTGCGCCACCACCGCCCGGCTGAAACCTTTCTTAAGAGTGGTTGTAAATCTGTTTATTTAGACAGCTGCTCAAACATCCTGGCTGGCTTCTATTTGGTAAAGATAACTGAGCTCCTGATCCTCCTACTTCCAGCTCCTGAATGCTGAGACTACAAGTGTTCACAGCCACACTTGCTGTATGTGGTTAAAGGGTGGACCTGGTCTCCTCTCATGCTAGGCAAACACTCGATCATCTGAACTACACCCTGATTATGAAGTTTACATTTTATAAAGTCTAGAACTGTGGGAAACAAAAGAATTAGAGTAGTCCTGGTTAGACTTTTGCAAAAAAAAAAAAAATTCACAGTCAGAAGAATAATCTAGTTGTCTTCTGCTAGAACCATCTTAAAATAAACTTGCCTGTGAAGTTAAAGCAGAGTCGCAGAGATGGCTCACTGGTGAAAATCAATCACTGCTCTTGCAGAGGACCTGAGTCCAATACCCAGCACCCACATCAGGCAGTGCACAACTGCCTGTAACTCCAGATCCCAGGGATCTGGTGCCTCTGTGGTCACCTGCACACATGTGGCACACACACACATAGACACATACAAATAAAAATAACAAATATTTTTTTTAGAAAGTATAACTAGATACTTTTAGATAAGTCTTGTATTTAACTCAGTTTTTTTTAAGACTTATTTATTAATTATGTATACAGGGTTCTTCCTGCTTGTATGCCTTCAGGCCAGAAGAGGACACCAGACCTCATTACTGATGGTTGTGAGCCACCATGTGGTTGCCGGGAATTGAACTCAGGACCTCTGGAAGAGTAGCCAGTGCTCTTAACCTCTGAGCCATCTCTCCAGCCCTTAACTCAGTTTTCTAAGTAGTGAAGAGCCTGACAAAGTTAATAGAAAACTTACCTTGATTAAAGATAAATTTTTGTGTTTTTAAGTTGGTTTTGTAAATGTTACAAAGAACTAATCAATATCTTTAGAGAACCTCATTGATTTATATTGTTTGATGTTGGCTTGAGGTGCCGCAGTAGAGAGAGAAGCTCACCAAGGTGCTAAGCCTTCATTTTCTGAAGGAGCAGAGGGGTTCTGCCTTCTTTGAAAAGACCGACACCCAGCTAGCTCACTCCAGCTACTTTATTCAAACACATACAAGGTTAATAGGGGCTGGGAAAGGTTCCAGCCACCAACATTATCTTGCTCTTGCTGCCCGTGAGAGCAGACAACCCACACACATTTCAGGCTTGATCAAAAGAAAGAGCTCCAGCTCGTAGGACCAAGATCAGTGCAGTGGAGAGCGCTCAGGAGGCACCAAGTGCAGAGTCTCCAGAACAACATCTCTTCAAGGTTCAAACAGTCTCAGAGGGACTGGGAGGCGGTGGCGGGGAAGAGACAGAAATCTTAAATAAATAAATAAATAAATAAATAAATAAAAGATAAAACAATTCCTCAGCCGCTAATGATTTCACCCAAACACGTGTAGGCTTTGCTGAAACATTCCTCTCAGTGCCTACAAAGGCTTTGCTATACATTTCCCTTAAAGCCAGATACAGAGCCTTAATTTACCTACCACTCTAGATTTAACCAGAGAACTAGATTTTAATTCTACATTCATGTATGAAGTTTGACCTCAGGAATCTTAATAACCTTCAATCACTGTACCCTATCATCATTAAAGAAGATTCTTTTCTACAACCCCTCTGTGATTTGCTCAGATCTTCTGTGATGTGTTTAATTTGCCTGGTTTTATCTTTTACCATTTTGAGAAAATCCAGTCATTTTATCTTCAGGCAAAATCTTATTTTTCCATGCAAAAAATTTTTTTTCTTTAGAAATGCTTTTTAAATTTTCTTACCAAAATATGCATTTCTATTTTCTCTTGCGTTTCTATCTCCCGCTAAACTGTTTTGTGGTCGTTACGCTTTGTAGTTTTATTTCTTCTCTCAGTATCATGAGACCCAGCAACATAACAAACAAATTTGTCAGCTTCTTAGGAAACTATTCCATCTAAATCACATTTATTACATAATGTAACAGATTAAGGTCACTCACCCACATTTTATTGAGCTATAAAGTTCCTGACTGTGCAAGACCCAAGCAGATGTCACTGCTGCTCAAATTTTTTTAAAAGTCTGTTTTACATGTTTTTCTTTTGTCTCACTAATGTTTGAGGGTTACAGAATTTTACTTTCCAGCAGAGGCTCGCAAGCTAACAGAGCCTTCGATGATCTTGGATAGGGAGCCATATTGTATAAGCAAGAAGGCATAAGGGAGGGGGCCGAAAATCTTTATGCCAACCCTGTAATTTCAGCATGAGATACAAAAGGTATCTGCTACCCTGAAAACTGTGGGAGAGGGAGAGCAAACATCTGGCTTTTTACTGAAGAAATAAAAGGCAGTGGGTATCCAGTAGTGCAGACTGGGCTGCTGGGTCTACCCACCACAGGTCGGACTCAGAGAGTTTATGTATTCATCATAAAATATAACATATAAAATAGAGGCTGTAAATCTGCCACTCATTGATAATCAGAGTCTCTAAGGCCATATAAATTTTATCGCAAACTACTAAAGATACAAAATGATACATAGAAACGATTACTTTAGGATGGGTGAGGTTAACTTGGTGACTAAAAACACTTATTGCACAATCCTGATGGCCTAGTTTGACCCTGGCACCCACTAACAGTAAAATATCAAAACTGACTGTACAGATTTGTCCTCTGACCTCACGCAGCTGTCATGCATGCACACACCCACACATCACACATTACACACGCACTCACAATAAAAATAAAATAAATTTTGTAAACAATTCCACTAATTCAAAGCGTAATCTTTAATGGAAACAAGGCAGGAAATTTACATCTTTTGCATAGAACTTCCTGAAATGAAAGCAAAATAGTGAGACTGTAAACTCATTATGTGTACTTAAGGTAATATCTTTCCCTTTATTGGTTAAATAACTATAATTGTAAAGTAGTATATGACAATGAGAGAAACAGCTAATGGCCACCACCAACCCCTGGAATGTAATACATACAGTGGTCATAACTTTTACAATGAAATATCATTTTCATTTTCTTTAAAAGATTTATTTATTATGTATATTGTCAGTATTCTGTCTGCATGTATGCCCGCAGGCCAGAAGAGGGCGCCAGATCTCATTACCGATGGCTATGAGCCACCATGTGGTTGCTGGGAATTGAACTCAGGACCTCTGGAAGAGCAGTCAGTGCTCTTAACCTCTGAGACATCTCTCCAGCACCCTCATTTTCATTTTCTTATAGCAAGCTTAATCAGGCCAGTTGTCAGGATGCTCCTCCCTGAGTGGTTCCCACTAGGAGTGGGGTCCGTGTAACCCATTATATCAGACAGAATTGTGAAGTAGATCAGAACAGTGCCTTTAAACCAGATGCCTCATGGGCCATAACCTGGGAGAGGGAAGAAACTGCGCTAGAGCACACTTTAAACCAGAAGCCAAGCGAGCTGTCACCGGGAACAAAGCTGGAAGCACAGCAATTCGGTTCACTAAGTGACAGTGACAAGGAGTGCCTGGAGCAGGGACAGCGTCTAGGCCGTCATTGAGATCTCTGGAGAGGCCTGAGCCATTCAGGCAGAGCTACCAGAGGAGGTAACCAGAACACTGAGGTTCATACTGCCTGTCATTGTGAATGCCAATGATTGGAAATTATAATTTAATCTTTAAATCGTACTTTATTCAGAGAACCTGCAAGCAGAGAAGGCAGGGAGTCCGAATGTTCTAAAAACAAACAAACAAAAACCCGCCTCACAGCTCAGCTCCAACCATCACATTGTACAGCAGGGGTAGGGAGATGACAGAGAACAAAAGACCGTCCTGGGAGAGCTCAGCCTTTCTCCTCTGGCCACAGGCTCGGTCGTTCCCCTGGGGCTCATGATGGCGATGCTGCTTTCCCTGTCGTGCCCTACACTTTCCCCTTGTTGTTCATCTGGACCCAGACGTTTCCAAGGATGTGACAAGGACTTAGGGCCAAGGACTCCCCATCCTCAAAGATACCACAGGATGCTTGCCCATGTGCCCTCCACTTAGAGTTGCCCCTGCCCCCTCCAACCCCAGGGTCAATGAGACAGGATTGGACCCATCAAAGCTATGGTGGAGCTTCCCCTGCAATGCTCTGCACGCTGTCTTCCTCTCAATCACCCCCCAGCTTGGAATCCCTTCATCTCAGCTGGTTGGAACAATGACGAGTCACTGAATAGTGAGGGGTCCTTCATATGCCATTGTCTTCTCTTAGCCTCAGCCTCCTCCTTCAAGAATTCTCCATCTTGCCAGAATGCTATTGAATGTGATGGGAGACAGGGAATATCTGAGAGATATCTACGTCACACTGGGGACATTAATAGGACTGTATTTAAATTTTGTCTGAGGTGTATCCGAAGGGCACAATTTGATCATGTCAGACTAGTTTGTGCTGTGTCAAGGAAGACCATGTGTGTGGTGTCCAAGACAAGCCGTGATAACACATGTCATATGTCCAAGTATGTGTCAGTGAGATCAGAGAGCTGCAACAGACACTGTGTCCCAGGTCTCTGGGAAAGCTCGTGGAGTGTTGTGCTGTGATCAGACGTGGAGGATGTGTCAGACAAAGTAGGAACCACATGAAGGCGTGATGGACATGTGTGCCATGTTAACCTGACCTTTGCTCTACCTGTTGCTATGCCTGGTCTGGTCCCTTCCTGTGCCCCATCCCTGCCCTGCATCCCTATTTACTTTGTCTTCATCCCCTTCTTGTCATGCTGAGCTGGAAGGGGAAATGCGCAGCCCTTGCTGAGAGTTCCCACCCCTCCTAAAGTCCATTGCCATGGGCCCTGATTGTTCTCCTTTGTGTCAGCTGCTGTTGCACCCAAGGAAATGACTTTCTATGGCCTCCTGAAGCCCTGGCTGGGTGAGTAACTGAAGGCGAGGGTCAGGGGACTCCCTTGAGTGTTAAAGGGGGGCACTACCCTTGCCTATTGTCCTGGCTTCCCTACCAGGGGATGGGCTCCTGCTGAGTTCAGGTGACAAGTGGAGCCGCCATCGTCGCCTGCTGACGCCTGCCTTCCACTTTGACATCCTGAAGCCCTATGTGAAGGTTTTTAACAAGAGTGTGAACATCATGCATGTGAGTTTCTTGAGCATGGGGTCCTCCTGGAGCCATGTAGAAAGGAATTTGCTTTCAGATGTAATCTGCAGGCGTGGGTACCACAAAATTCCCTTTCCAAACTTCAGTTTTCTTTTTCTTTCCTTTTTTTTTCTTTTTTAGTTTTTCGAGACAGGGTTTCTCTGTGTTGCCTGGGCTATCCTGGGACATGCTCTGTGGACCAGGCTGGCCAGGATCTCAGAGGAACTACCCCCCTGCCTCTGCCTTCTGAGCGCTGGGATTAAAGGGATGCGGCACCACTGCCAGGCAATTTTCTATCTGTAATGGGGAACTAATCCATTCTTAAAGGGTAGCCAAGGTGACACCATGGAGTCATGATCCTAGCATAGGAAAGGGGCTGAGAAGGACCTGTGTCTAGTCACAGGAGCTTTGGGAAGTCAGCACGTTCATCTGGCTATTGCTCAGTAGGTCTCTCTACAAACTACACTGTAACAGGCTTGTTCTTTTAGGCCACCAAACAGCTCCCACATCAAGACACAGAGACTTGTTGTTAGTTTTAAATGCTTGTCATAGTTTTGACACTTTTTTGGCTAGCTCCTTTAACTTAATCCGTTTCTCTTTATCCACCTTTTGCCTTGGCCTTTCTTACTTCCGTATATCTTACTTTCACTGCTTTTGTATGTCTGACTGGCTGGTGTCTGCTGCCTTCTTACCCTAGGCATCGCTCTTGTTCTCTCCTCCTTCTCTTGTTCCTTTAGAGCCTAGGTTTCTCCTCCTATTTATTCTCTCTCCCTGCAAGCCCTACCTGTCCGTTTCTCCTGCCCAGCTATTGGCCATTCAGATCTTTATTAGGCAGGCAATGTGAAACAAATGCAACGTATCTTCATAATTAAACAAATGCAGCACAAGCAAGCGTAACAACACATCCTTGCATCATTAAACAAATGCAGCATAAACAGATGTGACACACCTTTACACAGTAAGAGTAATATCCAGCCACATAAACAAGTGAAACACATCCTTGCCTACTTAAAATAACATGCTACAACAACATACCACTCTAAACTCACTGGCCTTACACTCTACACGGTGACAGATATCTTTATCCCAGCACTTGGGAGACTGGGGCAGAAGCATAGTGAGTTCAGGGCTATATGGCAAGACCCTGTGTTGAAAAAACCAGTTCTTGTGCTAGACAGTCTTCTGAGCATGCACAAAGCCCTGGTTTCCATTCCAGTATTAAAAAAAAATAGAAAACATGGTTTGGGGGAGTGTTTGTTTTCATGTATGTGTGTTTTAGGTTGGATTTTTGCTGTTGTTATTTTGGTTTTTGTTTGTTTGTTTGTTTGTTTTGCTTTTTAGGGGGCAGTTTTAGACAGGGTCTCTATATCTCTGGCTGTCCTAGAACTTACTGTGGAGGCCACGCTGGCCTCAAACTCACTGAGATCTGCCTGCCATCTGCCTCCCAAGTATTGAGATTAAAAAGGTGTGTGCCAGCATGCCTGGCTAAATAAAAGAGAAAAAAAAAAACCAACAACTTCACTGACTATTCCTTAAGGAAGTCTGGGTTTTCTAGCATGGAGAGACTGGGTTCTGAAAGAGAGAACGAGGAGAAAAGCTCAGTAACTCTCCAAGCTTAGAGTCAGAGATAGCACACCATCATTTTTAAAACACTCCTCAGGTCCGAGCAAACAAGCCCTGAGTTCAGCTCAGATTCAAGACATGGAGAAACAGGCCTACATCCCAATGGAAATGCTACAAGGGCTTGTGGCAAAGACTGAGGGTGGAGGAATCATGAAAAAATGAAGACATTTCTGAACCTCCTGCCACTATGCTAACAAGGATGGCAATGACAACAGACATTTATTGATCACTTACTAGCTACAGAAATATTATGGCAGTTCCATGATCTAAGTCATCTGATATAATTTCCACACTGCTCTAATGTAGAGATCACTATGACTACGACATTATGGATGGTGAAACTGGGGGCCAGAGAGGTCAGGGAGCATGTCAAAGTTCACCAGCAGTAAGAGAGTAGAAGCAGGGAAGCAAGATGTTTATGTATAAAAATCAAGTCAATTTAGTTATTACTAAAGGTTTAAGTGGTGGGACTGAGGAGAGGGTGATAAGCTGAACAAAGGTGGACTCGAACTCAGGGATCCTGACTTCCAGGCTTGCATGTTTGTCTCATACATTAACACTGCTGTTCTCACCCAAGCCTGGCCTACCCTGGGGTGGAGTGCCCAGGGCCAAAGACCAGAAGGCTGGCTCAGAGCAGGGTAGGGGACCCTATTCAAGTTTTGAAAGATTCAGCCCATCTCAGTTTACTTCTCTGTCCAGGCCAAGTGGCAGCACCTGACTGCCAAGGGCAGCGCCCGTCTGGACATGTTTGAACATATCAGCCTCATGACCTTGGACAGTCTGCAGAAATGCATCTTCAGCTTTGACAGCAACTGTCAGGAGTGAGTCACTGTCTTTGTCGGGGAACCTGAGCATGGACCAAGGCAGGAGGCTGGGGATGGAGGGACTGGCAAGAGGGAGAAAAGGTGGGCTATAACTGACATTTAAGGAGAGTGACAAGAAAGAGTGACCCTTTCAGATAGGTGGGGTTGTTTAGATAAAGCAGGGAGCTAGAGACATGTGTTGCCATTAACAGGCAGTTTGGAAAAAAGACATCTGAAAACGAAGTTGGGGGGTTCAATTTGTTGTTGTTGTTGTTGTTGTGACGAAACACCCGAGCAGAACAGCTTAAAGGAGAAGAGGTATGTTTGAGCTCCTGGTATCGGAGGTTTCAGTGCTTCCTGGTGGGGAAAGGGGTGGGAGAGCACCTCCCATCATGATGGCGAAGAAGCGAAGAGTGAAGATTGCTTGTGCTTGCAACCAACCTTCCCCTCTTGTCTCCGTGGGGCCCCAGCCAATGGGATATGCTGCCCACATGCTGAGCAAGCTTTCACCCACTTAGTCTGCCCTGAAATTGCCCTATAGATTCACACAGAAATATGCTTCCTTCAACTCCTCGATGTGTCTTAATCGAGATTAACTGTTCTGATCCCCATAAGAAGAAGGGAAGTGGGCACAAAGTCCCACCCTAGCTAAAAAGCTATTTCCATTGGTATCTTCTGGGAAAGGGAGAAATCAGTTTTCTTCAATGGAGTGACACTGGGCATATCTACCACACTCCAGGGCAGACCTCATGCTCAGCACAAATCAGACACCATTTGTGTGTGTGTGTGTTCTTTGGTTTCATTTGGAGTTTTTTTTTTGTTTTGTTTTGTTTTAAGAGAGAAAAAAAAACAAAGTTGGATGGGTGGGAAGATTCAAGAAGGAATTGGCAGAGGGGAAAGAATATGATCAAAGGTTAAAAAATTATTTTAAAAAAAGATTTAACTGTCACCAGGCAGTGGTAACCAATTCCTTTAATCCCAGCACTCAGAAGGCAGAGGCAGGCAGATCTCTGAGTTCCAGGATGGCCAACTCTACACAGAGAAATCCTTTCTCAAAACAAAGGCGTGTGCCACCACCGCCAAGCAAGAGGGAGCTAATCTTAGCCCTAGGTCTCTGCCTGGGCAGGGGGTTTATGTGTGCTAAGAGTTTGCCTTCTCTCTGGCCTGTCCTACAGGTCTCCCAGTGAATACATTGCTGCCATTTTGGAGCTCAGCTCCCTCATAATGAAACGGCAGCGCCAGCTCTTCCTGCACATGGACTTCCTGTACTACCTCACTGCTGACGGGCAGCGCTTCCGCAAGGCCTGTGACCTGGTGCACAACTTCACAGATGCTGTCATCAGGGAGAGACGCCGCACCCTCTCCAGCCAAAGTGTTGATGAATTCGTAAAGACCAAGGCTAAGTCTAAGACTTTAGACTTCATTGATGTGCTCTTGCTGGCCAAGGTGGGCTTTTCTGGGGTCTGAGTTGCATGGATCCTAATGTCCAATGTTAGCTAGAAGTTGAATTTAATCTAGAGAGTACTAGGGAGGCATAAACAATGGTTGTAAAAAGGAGGAAAAGTTTAGAGATAAGTTTTAGAGGTGACTGCTGGATGCTGTGTAGAAGAAGCAAATAACAGTAAAAAGCCAAGGACAAAATTGTGTGGAAGGCCCTGGAGATAATACAAGGGAATCCTGTGTGCACAGTGAATGTCAGGCCCTGTCTCAAGACAGGCTTATTAGTGTTCAGTCACTGTATGAGCTGTGGTCTTGCTTTGTCTACAGGATGAACATGGAGAGGAGCTGTCTGATGAGGACATTCGGGCAGAGGCTGACACCTTCATGTTTGGAGGTGAGAGTCCCTATGTAGGGTTACAGAAAGGGAAAGATCTCCTAGACCTAAGAGTCATCTGTCAGGGGAAACCCAGGACCTCTCCATTCCTTGCATCCACCGGTTCCCCAGCCTTCCTAAGGACCTTGCTGCCTAGACACTGCCCAGCCTGTCTTCCTGTTGATCCTGCAGGTCATGACACTACAGCTAGTGGGCTCTCCTGGACCCTGTACAACCTTGCGAGGCACCCAGAATACCAGGAGCGCTGCCGGCAGGAGGTGCGGAAGCTGCTGAGGGACCGTGATCCAGAGGAGATTGAATGGTGAGTGTAGGTCCTTGTGATCTGTTCTATAGCCCTTCTCTTTGGCTCTGCTCCCCAGATGGAGAAGAGAATCTCCTTTGGTTGATTCTTCCATTATTGCTTGGTGTACGTAGAAGCTGAGCTCAGGGAGATGGCTAGCAAAAGAAAGACTGTATGCTTAGTGACGGAGACCTCTCAAAGCCCACAGTTAGCTGGGCAGTTGTGGCACACGCCTTTAATCCCAGCACTTGGGAGGCAGAGGCAGTCGGATCTCTGTGAGTTCGAGGCCAGCCTGGTCTACAGAGTGAGTTCAGGACAGGTTCCAAAGCTACAGAGAAACCCTGTCTCGAACTCTCCCCCCCAAAGCCCACATTTACCACCTCACTAATTTGCTAGTCAAAATTAGCAAACTTTTATAAATCATCTGAGTGCACTGTAGACAGGGGATCCTGGGAAGCGAGCTGCCTTGAGCTTCTGATACCTCAAAGCTCTCAGCTCCTTCTCCAACACCATGTCTGCCTGCACACCACCATGCTTCCTATCATAATGATAATGGACTAAACCTCTGAAACTGTAAGCCAGCCCCATTGAAATATCTTCCTTTATAAGAGTTGCCATGGTCATGGTGGCTCTTCACAGCGATAGCTACCTTAAGACACTAGGGTGACCTCAGATCCATCTATTGGACCCTGAAGTCCAATCACTGAGGAGGAGTTGCCCCAAGAGACCACCTCTCACACCATGATCTGTACTTTAGTTGATGTAAAAGCATGAGGATTTTATTAATTCTGTCACAACAGGGTCTTTCAGCATTCGAGAAGCCAGAAAGACCCTGAATAGCTGGTATAGGCTACTTTGGGGGTTGTTTTCCAACTATTGGGATTGGCTTATTCAAATGGCTATTAGCAATGATTGGTCTGAGCCACGACAAGAGAGTGGTTGCTAGATCAGGCGGGGTAAAGGGGAACATCTGTGAGTCATCCTAACCATATCTGAGGAACTGAGTCAACATCTAAGGGTTATCTTGCCCCAATTCTAATAACTGAGTTCTATCTGGAGAACATCCACAAGGACAATCCCCAACATTCCAGTGTAGTAATAAGAGCGGCGGGGCTGCGTCCCCAGCACCCCGGCCGGCTGCTAGCTTATGCCCGAAATAACAACACACAAACTGTATTCATTTAAACACTGCTTGGCCCATTCTCTTCTAGGCTAATTCTCACATATTAATTTAGCCCATTTCTAATCATCTGTGTGTAGCACCCCAAGGTGCGCTTACCCGGAAGATTCTAGCCTACGTCCATCCTGGGTCGGCGCTTCATTGCGTGTGCCTCAGAGAGCAGAGCTCTTGCCTCCTCCCGGGAAAGGGGAGCATGGCGTCTCTCTGAGGCGTCTGCTCCCGAGAGGAGAGCTGTCGAGTCTGAGCTCACTTCCTCTTCCTCCCAGCATTCTGTTCTGTTTACTCCTCCCACCTATGTTTTAACCTATGAGGGCCAGCCAAGCAGTTTCTTTATTTTTTTAACCAATGACCTTCCTCCATCATTCCAGTATGTGCATGTGTAGTTGTTAGGTCCTTGGTTCCCAGAGGAGGGGGAGCACTAGTGCTGAGAGGCCTCAGCTTTAAGTTCTACACATTCTCATGCCCCTTCTTGAGTGCTGGAATTATAAAATCATGTCACCGTGCCCATTCCTAGATGCGTTTTTAAGTTGGTCAGTTTGTGGTGGGATATTTGCTATACTGCCCAGGCTGGTACCAAACTGACGGACTCAAGTGATCATCCTGCTTCATTCTGCAGAACGGCTGATCTTAACTGATGAAGCAAAAAAATAAAGGAAGCCAAGCTGCTTGATAGCACAGTGAACGAGGCACTCAGAACTTCTTCAGTTTAAGGAGACATCTTTGCTATACCAGAAAGAAAGCATGCATCAGACAGTTTGACATGCTTAGGGGTCAGGGAGAATAATGTGCCTGGATGCTTAGAAAATGCATGTGAGGACTAGGGAGGTTCCTCATGAGACTGGAGCTGGAAATGCAACACTTTAAAACTATTAAGAATTTGAGCTTCCCGGTGGGTGGTGGCACACACCTTTAATCCCAGCACTTGGGAGGCAGGAGGGGGCAGACAGATTTCTGTGAGTTTGAGGCCAGCCTGGTCTACAGATTGAGTTCCAGGACAGCCAGGGTTACACAGAGAAACTCTGTCTCAATAAATCAACAAATAACTTGAACTTTAATCAAAGGTGTGTACACTGAAGACCTTTGGAAGTCAATGTAAGATCCAAGATAAACATGAGTGGGAAAGCCTTCAGGCTGCAATGTCAGAACTATGGAGACTGCTGCAGATTATAGTGTGTAGACTTGGCTACAAATAAGACTTTACTCAAGGTTAAAAAAAAAAAAGAAAAATGTGTGTTGTGGTGTTTAAGGCAGCCAGAATATATCATGATTTTATCAATACATTCCCAACTTAATGAACATTTGCCTAGCTTCTAATCTTTTTCTCTTTTTTACTTATTTATTTATTTATTTATTTATTTATTTATTTATTTATTACTGTGTACTTGTGGGTTGTGCCTTTACCCTCTGAGCCTTCTTGCTGGTCCTTCAGCCTTTTCATCTAACAAACACAATGCAGCGAGTATCTGTGTACTTCAGTTCAACCCTGTGTATAAAGTGTGAATTCCTGTGCAGAACAAATTCCAAGACTTCAGTTGCTAAAGTCAGACCTTTAGAATATGAGCTGTTAAACTGTGTATTTAAAAATGCTTTGGGATTAGAGACGTGGGATCAGCATCTAAGAGCACTTGCTGTTCTTGCAGAGGACCAGATTTTGGTTTCTAGCACCCACGCCGGGTGATTCACAACTGCCTGAAACTCCAACTCCAGGGAATCTGTTGCCTTCTCTGGTCTCTGCAGGTGCCTTCATGGACACACACACACACACACACACACACACAATCACACATACACACAAATAATTTCAAAACATCACTCATGAGTTCTATAACGTAGTAGCTCTTGGAAAATCCCCTTCCACACAGAGACCGGAGAGTGCTCACTTCTTTGTGTCTTCAGTATGTGTGTGGAACTTGGGAGTGTTTGTGAATCTGAAAAGTTGTAGCTCACTCTGCTACATGAATAAATACCACTGTATGTGCTAATGGTGTTAGACATGGCATTCATCTTTTGATCAGCCGTGCATATGTCTTTTTCTGTGACAAATTACTTTGTTTTCCTATCTCTGGAATTTTTATGGTTTTTATTTTTCTTACTGATCAATACATTTTAAAAATGTTTTTAATTTTTGTTTTGAGACAGCTGTCACTATGTAGCTTTGGCTGTCCTAGAACTTAGTTATAGACCAGGCTGGAATCTAGCTCAGACAGATCTGCTTGCCTCTGTGTGAAATCACAAGCACATACCAATACATCTAGTGTTAGAGGAGGCTGCTTGTTGGTTTCCCCACTGCTCAGACTCGAAATAACCACACAGAAACTTTATTATTTGCAATACTGTTTGGCCAAAAGCTTAAGTGTATTTCTAGCTAGCTCTTACTTCCTAAACTAACCTATCTCCATTAATCTGTGCATCACTACAAGGTCGTGGCCTACCAGCAAAGACTCAGCGGGCTCCAGCAGAGGTTTCTGTCTCCTGTGGCAGCTACATGGATTCTCACTGACTTTACCTACTTTCTCGCAGCATTCAGCTTGGTTCTTAAAACATTTTAAGTGCCATATTCTGTAGTCTTTGAAAGATCTGAAGAATATCTATCAATCTGAAAATACCTCTCTGTACATCTAGAAAACCTAACTAACATGACTACAAGCTTGACTATTATAAATGACTCTCTATTGACCGATATTTCTTAATTATACATTATATTTTTAAATGAGCTGCACAAGCACTATACCTTAATCAATAGCAGAAATATACATATAACCAAATTGACCTTAAATTTATGTCAGTAAACCAAGATCCATACCAATGCAAAGTATTCTCTATAACATTTCCCCCTTTAAATGTAAACAAACATTTATTTTAGTTGGGCAAAGTAATTTTGGGGGATGTTCACAGCGACCTTTCACGGGGGTTTTAGTCCATAAAACCACATTAGTCTAGAAGGAATCCACAGGTTCTAATCCTCTGTGGAAATAAAAAAGCAACAAATCCTTAGACAAAATTTTGAAGTCAAGATACCTTTAAAAATATATATTTAGCTTAACAGCCTATACAATGAAATGTCTCTCTGTACTTAGTTCATTCACAATCAAAAAACTCAAAGAAAACACAATAATATACATAATCTAGACTCTCTGTGTATTTTTCATCTTTATGTGGCTTATTTTTCTTATGCTATTACTTTTTCTATAAGTTTAATATATTTTTTATAATCTTTACTCCTTTAACCTATGACTGTCTGTGATCTTTTATATCATAACTGTCTATACTTTTTTTCTTTCTCTCTCAAGCCTGCATACATTTATTCAACATTGTGACCCATTTATAGGTTTTTTTCATCTGAATCTGTCTTTATTGCATATCTGTAATTATATTCTGACCAGAAGCACCCTTTTTCTTTATTATTACTAAGCAGGCATGTCTAGGACCAATTCCATGGTCCTGTCTGCTTGGTCCACCCAATCCAACATGGTGGAAGTCCATTCACTGCCTCTGAGACTGCTGAGTGGGAGCCACACTCACCACCTCAACTCTGGTAACCAGTTGGCCCATGCTGCCACCAAGTGACTTGCAGCATTCTGCCCACAAACCCCATTCAAGTGCTTGGCCTCCTAAAAAAAGCCAGAGTTTGTTCTGGGAAGCTTCCATTTTGAAACTGCATGTTTTTGGAGTATTTTGGTTTCTTTTTTCTGCTACCACTGAATCAGAAAGACCTCTCTTAAAGGAGCCATGGTGTTCCTACTTGCCGCAAGCAAACAGAGCCCATCCAAGGGAAAAAATAATGCTCTCTCAGGTTTTAAAGATGTAGTCACCCACATTGGCACCAATTTGTTGGGGGGCTGCTTGTTCGTTTCCTGGCCACTCAGACTCCAGAAATTATCACACAGAAACAATATTATGTGCAACACTGTTTGGCCAATAGCTTAAGCATATTTCTAGCTAGCTCTTACTTTCTAAACTAACCCATCTCCATTAATCTGTGCATCACCACAAGGTCATGGCCTACCAGCAAAGTTTCAGCAGCTCCGTCAGAGACATCTGTCTCCTGTGGCAGCTACATGGCTTTTCACTGACTCTGCCAACTTTCTACTAGCATTAGGTTTAGTTTTCCTGCCTAGATGTATTCTACCCATCTCCTGGTTGGAGAACAAAACTTCACTCTTCATGCTTGCATGGCAAGCATTTTATCTAATGAGCCATTTTCCCAGCCCCCGAGAATTCATGACATATTCAAAGTCTCTTCCTGGTTCTTCTTTATTAGAGATGGAAAAATCATTCTGGTCTTATCAACCATCTATAACCCTAAGAATGTTTAGTTTACTGCTTTCTCTTTTCAGTGCCAGGGATGGAGCCCGGGCCTTGGACACAGTAGTAAGTGCTGAGCTTCAGCACTTGAGCTTGAGCTTCATCCCCAGCCCTAGCTCATCGTACAGACCTTGTTTTTCAAGTACCCTAGTATTGGGTCCCTGAGCTACCATCTGTTCACTACAGGTAGCCTCTGTACATGTCTACATCCCCAGGATCAATGCATGGGTCCCCTCTACCACCTCACACCTCAGCCAGTCTTCATACCTTGTTAATTCTTACCTGGAATAGATGTGAAATAACATCCCTCCCACTGCCAGAAGTCTTTCATCTCTGTTAACTCATAATCTGGTGTATTTATCCCTCCCTCCTCCTTCCCTCCCTCCCTTCCTTCTTTCTTTCTTTTCTTCTTTCTTTCTTTCTTTCTTTCTTTTCTCCCTCCCTCCCTCCCTCCCTCCCTTTCTGTTTGTTTTTTGAGACAGGGTTTCTCTATGGAGCCATGCGCACCCTCTTTATTTTACCAGATATTAATGTATTCACGAGCATGTCTAGAGTGCACTAATATCCCTTTCATTCCAGCACTTAGAAAGTGGAAGCAAGGGAATCAAGGTTAAAGGTCACCCTTTATTACATAACTAGTTCAAGGTGAACATGGGACCTGAAAAAAACCAAAGCCAAGGGGATACAGAGAGGGCTCAACAATTAAGAGCCCTTAACTATTTTTCCAGAGAAATCTAGTTTAGATCCCAACACCAACAACAGACAGGTCACAACAACCTATAATTCCACCTACAGGGAGTCTGACTCCCTCTTTTGGCCTCCACAGACATAAGTGGAAGACACATGCACACTCATAATTTAAAAAAATTAGTTATTTTTTAAGAACAATAGTTTTGGTACAAAACTGTGTATGGATCAGTCTCACCGAGTGGCAGAGAGGCTGGGCAGGGCTTAGGTCTTGCTCCTGGTTAACTATGTGTTGGCTTCCTCAGGGACGACCTGGCCCAGCTGCCCTTCCTGACCATGTGCATCAAGGAGAGTCTGCGCCTGCATCCTCCGGTTACGATGATCTCCCGATGCTGCACCAAGGATGTTGTGCTGCCAGATGGCCGGGTCATCCCCAAAGGTGCCCTCCGTATCAGTGGGTCTGGTTAGGATGGTGGTCCCCAGAAACAAAGTGGACCTTTTCATCATTGTCCCCTTACTCGACAGGGAATGTCTGTGTCATCAGCATTTTCGGGGTTCATCACAACCCTTCCGTCTGGCCAGATCCTGAGGTGTGACCCTGCCCTTTCCCCAACTCTGGGACCTGGGGAAGAGGCCTACCTGGGAAACCATCTGGCTTTTTCTATGTTTGTCTTTTCTGCGGCCAGCAGAATGTGGCGAGAGACACGACCCTTTAGCATACATAGTCTTGCCTGGCTTGCAGGTCTATGACCCCTTCAGATTTGACCCAGAAACTCCACAGAAGAGGTCGCCTCTGGCTTTTATTCCCTTCTCTGCGGGGCCCAGGTAAGATCGGTGATCTTGGGGTAAAGCGGGGGCGGGGATATCTGGGTCCGATGGTGGGTTCAGGGGACAATAGGGTCAAGATTCTGGGTCTCCTTACCGACCTTTGCTTGGATTGTGTGCAAAAGGCTGCAAAACCCGGGGTTGCAAGGTCAAAGGCTCTGTACTCTCAGTCCTGCCCTGGTCTGAGTTGTCACTGAAGCTATGCCCCAGTAATACTGAAGGCTATGCAGGGTCCCAGGCACATCAGTGCCCTTCTGCCTCTCACACTGACCAGGCGCATCAGAGACCCGGTCAGATTGGGTCCGAGGGTGTGTCTGGCTGGGGAGTGCCTGCCTGGGTCCCGGTGCAGTCCCCACCCTGTCCTCCCGCAGGAACTGCATAGGACAGACTTTCGCCATGAGCGAGATGAAGGTGGCGCTGGCGCTCACACTACTGCGCTTCCGCCTCCGGCCCGACGACAAGGAGCCCCGCAGGCAGCCGGAGCTGATCCTGCGCGCGGAGGGCGGGCTGTGGCTGCGGGTGGAGCCGCTAAGCAGTACACAGTGACCTCCACGCCTGGCCTGGTTCCACCCCACCCACCCGCTTACCTCTTTGGATTTTTGACTAAGTAGAACTGTCTTCTATGCCTGGGCGGCGAGCACCAATTAAGAATTTGACGCCTCTTGCTGATGAGTGTTCTCCTGGAGCTCAAGCCTAGACTCCATCCTATGAGAGCTACCACAGGTGTTTTGAGTAGGAGAGGGGAACAGTCTTTCCGGCAGAATTGAGTCTCTGTGGTCATTTGAGGCAAACCCTTAAATTCACTATTTGCCAGCCCCTGGCATCCATATACCCAAAGAGTCTGGAATGTTCGCATGGAAGCTCCAAGCCCTCTTTTCTGGTGCTGCCTCAGTCCAGACTCCACTCCTGAGAAAGTCCGCCAAACGATGACCTCCTCCCCAGGGATGCTCAAAACTACTTCCACAGGGTATTAAAATCCCCCCCCCCCCCCCCCCCAGAGAACAAACACATGGGTTTTCAGTCTTCCTTTCCTGTCTCCTCTCTGCGGGGCTAGAAAGCCATCCCGGAGCGTGATATCTATTAAACCTGGGCTTTTTCTAATTTGGCCTGATTTGGATTATTGCGTTGGCGGAGAGGCTTATTGGGATGCAGAAACTTTCCAACTACGTTTCCACCTTTTTATCCTCTTTCGTCAAACTTAGCGCGATCCTCCTGCTTCTTCTGTCTTCTTGATGCTGCACTTACAGAAGTGGATCGCTAAGCGAGACCAGACTTGATAAGGGACAGTTGTAGAATCGGAAGACGATTGTTCCTCAAGCTTGGAACACTGGAGGATGGTGTTAAATAATTTTCAGGGCTTGTGATAGCTAAAGCAGCTAAAATTTAAATGAAATCATACTGACAGGCTACCCCGCTTTCTTTTGTCTTTTCAGCAACCTTGCTGAAATAGCAGTCTCTCACTGTTCGCAGGAGGCTCTGACAAGCTTACCTTATCGAATCATTTCCGGGCTTTGACTTCTCTTTTCCCGTCACAAGACCATTAAAACTGAAGTTCAGGGGCTAGAGTTCAGAGGTTAAGAGCACTGGTGGTTCTTCCAGAGGTCCTGAGTTCAATTCCCAGCAACTACATACATGGTGGCTCACAGCCATCTATAATGAGATCTGATGCGCTCTTCTGGTGCTCAAGTAAACACGGAAACAGAACCTTGTATACATAATAAATAAATTAAGTATTAGAAAAAATTAAGCCTTGGCTTTTGCTCTAGGCATGCTTAGTTTAAAAAAATAATTGAATTTCAGCTGGGCATGGTGGCACATGCCTATCCTTCCCCCTACTCAGGAGGCTGAAGGAAAGGATCATTAGAGACCAATGATTGAAGTCAGCCTGGGCTACACAGTGAAATACTGTCTCAAAGCTGGGCTCAGGTCTATTGGTAGTATGGTTGCCTAGAGTGCAGGAAGTCCTGGGTACCAAACCCAGCACCCCATAATCATGTTACAAGACTAAAATTTAGTACTTGGGAGCTGGAGGCAGAGGTCAGAAATTCAAGGCCATCCTTGGCTACACAAGTTCCAAGCCAGCCTGGGATACACAAGCACTGCCTCAAAAAAAAAAAGTTATTGAAAATAAATAGTTTTACCACACAGTGGTTGCACACACCTTTAATCCCAGCACTTGAGAAGCAGAGGTAGGCCTGGTCTACAGAGCAAGTTCCAGGACAGCCAGGCTGTTACACAGAGAAACCCTATGCCGAAAAACAAAGATAGATAGATAGATAGATAGTAGATAGATAGATAGATAGTAGATAGATGATTGATAGCTAGCTAGCTAGATAAAAGATAGATAGATAGGTAGATAGATGATAGATAGATAGATAGATAGATAGATGATAGGTAGGTAGATAGATAGATGATAGATAGATAGATAGATAGATAGATGATAGATAGATAGACAGCTTTTTTTTTCCTTTTCTAATGTGAGAAATGGCTTTAGAGCAAAATTCTATTTCAAGTCCATTTAATTTTAGGTTTCTTCCTTTTTCTAAATTGCCTTTGGTTTTTTTTTGTTTGTTTGTGTTTTGTTTTTTAGGGGGTCAGTGATGGGGTTGGGCCCAGAGCCTAACACATTCTCCCCTACTGAGCTACACTCCCAGCTGACTCTGTATTTATTACCTTTTCATGTCATATATTTACTTAAAGAATTGGAAAAGTATTCACGTTTGAGAGTTACAAACAGCTAGAAACATAACGAAATAACTTACCATAAACAGAAACAAGTCTCACACGAGGTTATTTATATGTTTGTTTACAATTATTTGAGACAGAGCCTCACTGTGGAACCCTGGCTCACCCGGTACTTGCTAGGGAGACCAGGCTAGCCTCAAACTCACAGAATTCACCTGTGTCTGCTTCCTTGGTGCTGGGATTAAGTTACATGCCTCCACACGCCGCCATTATTGCTTTATGTTAAAGTACATTTACATGTTCATTTTCATGGGGGGGGGTGCACATGCCACCATGCATATGTGGAGGTCAGAGAACAGCTTAAGGGAATCAGAGTCACTGCCTAGAACCCTGAACTGATGCAAGCCAGCAGGTTTGGAACAGACTGCCTTCCCTACCGACTCACCCCACGATCCCGCAAATGAAATTTTAAATGGTCTTACTACATTGGTGACTCTACTCTTTGGTGTATCGAAGTGATAATCACCTTTGACTTTATGCCTTTCAGCCCGCACTCACCCACATCTGAACTTAGGGAGCATCGCACAACAAGAAAGATCTTAGACTTTGAGCAAATAAAGGAAATCGGTGAACTCTGGGTAAAATTCCCTTGGGAATGTTGCTGTGTGCCCTTTGTTTGGGAGAATAATAGAAACTTTGTATTTTGGTAGTCACTGGGTGGACTGTTTCAAGTGACTGCAACTGCTAGCTTTTGGCCACCATACTCAGTATTCCCATAATATTTATTTATTTAGAGATTATAATGTAGTTATAACACTTCTCCCTTCCCTTTTCTCCTTCCAAACTCCCATATATCCTTCCCCACCCTCCTTCAAATTCATGACCTCTTTTTCATTAATTGCTACTATATGCATATATGTATATACATATATATTCCTAAATATATCCTGCTAAGTCTGGATGGTTCCTTGTGTGTATGTTTTCAAGGCTGCCTGTTTATTTATGACAGGTGTAGTGGTGCAAGCCTTTATCTTATCACCCAGGAAACTGAGGCAAGTGAATCTGTGAATTCAAGGCTAGTCTACACAGCGAGTTCTGGGACAGCCAGGACTGTATAGAGATGTCCTGTCTCAAAGGATCAAGGCTAGTCTACACAGCAAGTTCCAGGACAGCCAGGACTGTATAGAGATACCCTGTCTCAAAGGATCAAGGCTAGTCTACACAGCAAGTTCCAGGACAGCCAGGACTATATAGAGATACCCTGTCTCAAAGGAAACATATTTATTTTTATTTTATGTGCTGGTGTACACTGAATGCAGAAGCATAGGTGCCAACAGAATCCAGAATTGGGCATTGTGACCCCCAGATCTAGAGTTACAGACAGTTGTAAGCTGCCTTGTGGTCCTGAGGACAGAACCCTGATCCTCTTCCATATCAGCAAGTGCTCTTAACATCTGAGCTGTCTCTCCAACCCCGTGATTCCCATAACTGTATAGTGTGTTACTTTTATTTTCAAATAAATTTTGGCAGTTCTGTGCCCTTTGAGTTTTCACATAAATGTCATAATCAACTGAACACGGTAGTGCACACCTTTAATCCTAGCACTCAGAAGGCAGAGGCAGGTGGATATAGGGAGTTTCAGGACACTTTGACCTACATGGTGAGATCCAGTCTCAAAATTAATTAATTTCAAAATGGAAGTGTCTACCTCTGCAAAGAATGCTGCTTGGATTTTAAGATTTCTTTAAATCACTAGGTCAGTTTGAAGAGAATCAGCATTTTAACATTGTTGAGTTATCCTATCCATGAACATTGTATGTCTCTCCATTTATTTGGTTCTCCTTGAATTTCTCGCACTAGTTTTCATTATAGATGTCTTGCACATATTTTGAACAACCGAGTGCATTTTTTATGGTGCCCATCAGTTTTTAAAAAAAATGGTCCTTTTCACCAGGAAATACTCCATTCTTTGCTTTATGGTGGAGCAAACTGTTTCTTAGAGTAATTGCTACATTTCATTTCCTGCTCTGAACAGGCTTTGAAGATTCTGCCTAGCATCGCAATGCTCATGAAGAGTTGGGGGACCGGGTTTTGTCGATCCCTGACCTCCTACAGAAGCCTGTGTAAATCCTGGAAGACTCCGCAGGGCTAGTGTGGGTCCTGTTTGTCTCCTGACCTTGGAGAATGCTCCCTCTGTAGGACAGTTTGAGAACAGCAGGCACGAAAGAGATGGGTTCAACGTGTCCCTGACTGCGGTGGGGATTTGGGGAAGGCGCACAAACCACCCTTCTGAGGGCTCTAGAGGCAGCCTCCTGATGCTCTTGCTAACTGAACTGAGATGGCAATGAGCAGGTAGAGGGAGGTGAGGCCGTTCCTAACATCCTACAGCGTCAGGAACCCTGACTCTACCCACATACCCTCTCTGGTAACCACTCTGCTAGGAGTCTGACTCTTCGAGCACTTGCTCTCTGGAACCAATCACAGAGTAAGTCTGGACAAAGTCCAGGGTGGTTCAGGGGGGATCATGTGATCTGGGCAGGGGCTTGTTAGTTCTTCTATTAAATAAATATTTTTTCTCCTCTGGATGCCATCACTTGCGTCTCCCCCTGTGACATCAGGACTCTGGTCCAGACTGCTGAGGAGTGCACGGTAGGAAAACTTACTCCTTGAGGTTGCCTGAATGCAAGAATGGACAGACACACTTTATACTATCATGGTCATCACAGTCCTTTAGAGGAACAGCCAATACAATGAGAATATGTTACTAAGGGGTGCAGCATGTCTTCCATAGTTGTGGCTGAATCTGTATGGTGCAGAGGCTGAGAAGTCTGTATGGTGAAGTTGAGAATTTGTACTTGCTCAGTCCATGAAGCTGGATGCCTCCGCAGTTCAAAACCTGGAGGGTACCTGAAGAACCATCGGTCTTCAGTACACATTGGAAGAATGGCGAATCTAGATTCCAGTGTCCACAAACAGCAGCAGATTCCAAGTGGATCCACTTGCCAACAAGGCATGAAGGCGGGCAGGAAAAGGCAACACTGCCTGTTTTCCTTCAGGTCTCTTTATATCGGGGCTGCAGTCAGAAAGTGCTGCCTTCTAGGGGAGGACCTTCCTCTCCAGTTCTTCTTTCCAGAAAGTAGCCTCATAAGCCTGTCCAGAGGAATGCACCACGGTCGTCCAGTATACAGTAAGCATATTTTATGGAGAAGATGCTGCATAATGTAGTACTTTCCTGTACCAGTTGGTTTATGTGTGTCAACTTGAGACAAGCTAAAATCATCAGAGAGGAAGAGGAAATGCCTCCATGAGAGCCAGCTGTAAGCTGGTGATCAATGAGGGGGGCCCAGCCCATTGCGGGTGGTGCCATCCCTGGGCTGATGGTCCTGGGTTCCATAAGAGAGCAGGCTGAGCAAACCAAGGGAAGCAAGCCAGTAAGCAGCACCTCTCTGAAGCCTCTCAGCAGCTCCCATCTCCGGGATCCTGCCCTGTTTGAGTTCCTGTCCTGGCTTCCTTCAATAATGAAAAGCAATGTGGAAGTGTAAGCCAAATAAATGCTTTTTCCCCAACTTGCTTTTTGGTCATAGTATTTTGTCGCAGCAATAGAAACCCTAACTAAGACATTTCTCTACACGCTCCACTTTCTGCACATAAGACTTGCCCACAGCAGCTCCTGTAGGAATCACCAGGCTCTTCCTTCACTCCCTCTTCTTGGCCCCTCCTTTCTCCTCCTCAAAAACCCTCCATGGACAGCTGCCTCCCCAGCTGTGAGAACTGCAGTCAAGAGAGCTGGCCATCCCCACAGTCAGATGTAGAAAGAGGACTCAGTGTCCCCTTTCTGCCCTCTCCTCGTGGACGCCCGTCTCCTCAGAAGCCTTTTCAGTTCCACCCCACATGTCCCTCTACCCCTTGCTCTGCAGCTCAGCCCAGCCCAGCCATGTTCTGGCAGCTGGGCTTATTATCTTTGCAATCTGACCTGGGTAATCTCCAGCAGGGCTGGATTCTTTATTCCTGATCCTTTTCACCTGAGCCCTGGTCTTCTTAGACTCCAAGCCTTGGAGGAAGAACGTGAATTTTCCCAGGCTGTGAGGCTGTCAGGCAAAAGCATCACAGAACCTTAGTGACACGCCAAGAAATGTTGCACAGATCCTTCCGTCTTGCAAGCTGCTCTGGCACCGGGATTACCTGATCCTGGTCCCCTGGGCCTCTGAAATTCTATTCTTTTGCCTAATATGTCCTGTCCTTATAAGGTCATGGGTGTTGGGCACATGGTAACTCTCAATCACCTTTGCCCACACCTCCATTCGTGTCCCCCATCCCAGAAGGGAGTGTCCAGGTTCTAAGGATCAAGAGCTTTACAACCCCAATTGCCTTACCTTTAAACAAGGCCAGCCCTACCCCCATATCTTGGCCACCTTCCCAGGCCAGGAGCAGGCAGTTAGAGCTGGCAGCGATTGTCTGGTCCAGTCTAGCCCCTCATAAACCCCTCCAGGTAAGAAGTCAGGGACATCTTTACCAAGCTGCTGGTGGTGGGTCTATAGGATCCTCTCAGGGTAGAGTGAACACAGCTGCAGGGAGCAGGTGGTCCAGGAGATGGGGATCGCTAGGCAACTGAGTCACGAGTCATACCCATTCAGTTAGGTCTGAATCCGTCTGTTTTTCCCATGGTGTCACAGTCTGATCTCCCTCTCTTCCTCTTCCTTCTCCTCAATATCATCTCCTCCCCTCTTACCCCTTCCCATCCATTTCTATGAGTAGCCCTCCTCCTCTCTGCTCTGTCTCTAAAGCCTAAGCGGTAACTGCTCCTGTCCACTGTCCCTTTAAGTCCTTGTTCCTCTCCTGAGCTTTTTTTTTGTAAAAAAAATATAAATTAGAAGCCTGGACTGTAGCCCAGTGTGTAGAGTGCTTACCTAACATAGAAGAGGCCTGGAGGGAGGGTACTACAGAGATAGCAGCATGGTTAAGAGCACTGGCTGCTCTTCCAGAGGACTGGGGTTCAGTTCCCAGCACACGCATAGCAGCTCACACTTGTCTGTAACTCCAGTTCCAGAGTTTCTGACCTCCTCACACAGACTTACCTGCAGGCAAAACACTAATAAATATAAAATAAAAATAAATTAAAAAAAAGAGGGCCCTGGGTTTGGTCTCCAATTCTGCAAAAACTGAGCACTCTGGAGCACACCTGTAATTATGGCATCAGGGCTGGATTAGGAGGTTTAGAAGCATAAGTCATCTTTAGCTACATAAAATAAAACACTGCCTCAAAATAACAAAATGCACAAGTTATGATCATACAGGAGAGTGGATACAGCTAAAGTGTTATTTGGGCTCCAATTTAGAAACAGAAGAAGTTGGTCTGGGTTCGGGAGTGCATATCTTGTAACCCCATCACTCAGGAAGCAGGGGCAGGTGGATCTCTTTGGGTTCAAGGCTAGCCTGGTCTATAGAACAAGTTCCAGGACAGCCAGAACGACACAGAGAAACTGTCTCCAAAAGACAGAAAGAAAGAAAAAGGGAGAAGGGAAGGAAGGGGTGGAGGGGAAAGGAGGGAGGAAGAAAAAGAAAGAAAGAAAGAAAGAAAGAGAAAGGGAGAGAGGGAGGGAGGAAAAAAGGAAGGAAGGAAGGAAGAGAGGAGAGGAGAGGAGAGGAGAGGAGAGGAGAGGAGAGGAGAGGAGAGGAGAGAAGAGAAGGACAAACAAAGGCAACCAGAGAGATGACTCAGGAGTTAAGAATGTTTCCTGCTCTCCCGGAGGGCCAGCTCCAAGCACCCATGCCAGGTGTCTTACCACCACTCAAGCTATAGGGGAGCAGATGCCTTCTTCTGGCTTCTGCTGGCATTCACACATGTGAATTCACACTTACCTTTCCCTGGATCTCATATGTGCTCAAGCTCTCTCTCACTCCACATGGGACACCATACTGCCCAGCTCTAACCACCCCAGTCTCATCTGTATTCTTGATCCCTAGCTTTGGACCTGGAAACCCCAATTGGGATTTCTTTGTGTGCCAGAAAGTCTTGTTTCTGCTGAGAAGACAGGACTTGCGCTCCACCAGGCTGAGCAACTGGTGGGCAGACTCTTCAGTCCCACAGCCTTCTCACTGGAAAACAGTGCCTGCTATCATCACAGTCCTTTGGGCTGAAGCTCAGGAGATGATGGGGACCAGGCTGGTCAGATTCTGATTGTGGATTCCCAAATTCACCCTTTTACTTAGTGTACCACATCCACAGAGGAGCTGGAATGCTGGGAATATGTAACTCAGCATCAACCTTGTCCCGCAATAGTCCTAAGATTCATGTTTTGCCGGTCTATGATGATTGGTCTCTGCACCAAGCTAATTCTACCCCCATCTTGGCCACTTTCCCAGGCAAGGAGGAGGCATCCAGGCTTGACAGGGATTGGCTGGTTTAGAATGACCCAGCCCCCCAGCCTCCAGAAGCCAGGGAGAAAGGAGTCCCAGAAGAGGAGTGGAAAGGTATGGTAGATTGCTGTTCCTGAGAGGAAGTGTCAGGCTGGGGGGCAGTGACGTCGTAGGGACCTAATCTGGAGTAGGGAACATACAACCCAAGGGCAGGGCAGGGCAGGGTAGGGCAGAAAGCCAGCTGGCCACACACAAATGCCACAGGGAGCCAGCTGGCCTTGGGCATGGTAGCTTCTGAATAACCAAACCCCTGGTTAGTTTTGCATAATTTAGGGAGGTCTTAAATCCTGATCAATCTCTCTTCTTCTTCTGTTTTGCTAGCCCTGGCCCTTCCCCCCTATCACTGTGCTCCTCCTTCCCTTCCTCCTCTTCTCCACTCTTATAGCCCCTTCCCCTGCACTTCCCTGGATCTTACTCCTCCTCCTCCCTGCTTGGTCCTCTTTTCAGTGTCTCTGGAGATTCCCGCCTCTTTCCTGGACCTCTGTTCTTCACTGTGCTGTTGATCCACCCAGCAGGATGTCACAGCTGAGCCTGTCCTGGCTAGCACTGGGGCCTGAGTGGGCCTCCCCATGGCAGCTCCTGCTGCCCATTGGTGTCCTCTGGCTCCTGGCCCGAATTCTGACCCAGATCTATGCCGTATATGGGAGCTACCATCGCCTTCGTTGTTTCCCTCAGCCTCCCAAACAGAACTGGCTTCTGGGACATGTGGGCATGGTAAGTGTGGCATCAGGATGGGGAATGTCAGAGTGGACAGTCTTTTAAGGGGCTAGAAATGGGGCTCAGGCTGATGGAGTGGGTTAGCTGATGATCTTGGGTATGCCTTCCCTTCTCGTCTCTCTGGGTTCCCACTCCAGTCTGCTGTGTCATTTCCAACTGTCTTCCTCACACTGGGGAACACTGAGAAGTTCTCAGGATGGGATCTACAGAGTGAAGACCCATGACCTCTTCTCAGTGTCTGCTTATTAGAGTTGAGGTCTCCAGGGGGACTGTGGCAGTTCCTTTGTGTGAGCCCATCTCTGTCCTACCGTTCTGTAGTATTGATCTTTGATCTTTGATCTCTCTCCCTAACTGCTCAGGTGGGGCACAGCCCTCTCAGCTGTGGTGGGGCACTATAGCAGAGTACAGGCTGACTCTCCACCTCCCTCCCTGGGCCATTTCCTCCTGATCATGTTCTTCTATAAGATAGACCAGTGTTACCTGTTGTTGTGTTACCTGGATAAAATCTGTCCACTCATCCTCCATGAACCTTCCTTGACCCCACCCTTTACCCAACATTTTGAACTTTGAGTTCCATCTGCTCTCCCATTTAGGTGGCTTAGCTGCCGTAGTTTGGCTTGCAAATGGCCCAGGGTGGGCTGTGCACAGAGGTTCCAGGTGCTCTGAGACTGGTGGTCAACCAGTGGGTGCTGGTGGGTGGCAGTTGCTATCAATTCTACTCCCCCGGAACCTGGCAAGGCTGGAGGTCCCTGGTGTGTGGCCCTTTCTCCAGGGGAAGAACTGGAGATGTTGTGGCCCAGCCAGGACATAAAAGGTCATAGGTACACAACCTAACTTGTCCACTGGGCCTGAAATGTACACTTGGGCCTTGGGCATGTCCCTGGGAAGAACAAAACAGAAAGAGACAAGGGTTCCCTTCATCACTTCAAAATCGAGACACAGGTTCACTTACGGCGGAAGCTGTGTCACTTTCAGAGGCTGCAGAAGGCGCCTGCTGATGCTCCTGCAAAAGTGACTTAGTTATGGTTTTCTGAAGAAGGGGGACAAGTAGTACACACACACACACACACACACGCGCGCGCGCGCGCAGAGAGAGAGAGAGAGAGAGAGAGAGAGAGAGAGAGAGAGAGAAAGAGAGAGAATGATACATCAAGGAGTGATGGGGACATTCTGAGAAATTTGTCCAAAACTGGTATTGTCATTGTGCTGACATCAGAGCCTACTAACACAAACGTGCTATGTGTGGTTTTCTGTGCACCTAGGCTATCTGGTACCAATTGTTGTACAAATCTGTACATCATGGTGCTTTCCTTAACATTGTAGGCAATTTGTTATATCATGGTATTTATGTATCTGAATGTATCTAAACATAGAAAAGTATAAGAAAAATAATAAGCAATAGGGATTCTTTAGCTTCATTGCAGCCATAAGAGATAAATTCACCTGTGCAGTCTATCTTTGACATAGGATCATGCATCTGCAGTCATGTGTACACACATACATATGTATACATATATATAAAGCAGGGTAGAAGAGAGGAGGTCCATTGCATTATGGGAATTGGTTTATGTCTTTGTGGAGATGGAGGAATACCTCACTATGCCATCTGCAAATAGGAATCCAGGCTATGACAACTCAGTCTTGGAACAACAATGTGAAAACTCAGGGGTGTGAAGGGGCTCAGGTGTAAGTACTCGAGAGTTGTAGAGTAATCTTTTTGTACACTGTGAAGATGTGTCACCCAGATTGGTTTAATAAAAAGCTGAATGGCTGCTGAGCAATGGTGGTGCATGCCTTTAATCTCAGCACTTGGGAGGCAAAGACAGGTGGATCTCTGAGAGTTCAAGGCCAGATAGGTCTATAGAGCGAGTTCCAGGACAGCCAGAGCTGCAACACAGAGGAACCCTATCTTGAAAAACAATAAATAAATAAATAACTGAATGGCCAATACCTAGGTAGGATTTGGGGGGCAGAGAAGACACTGGGAAGAAGGCAGAGACTTGAAAGGACACAGAGCAAGAAGGT